GTACAAGATCGGCGTCGACGTCGACGAGGCTCGGCGGAGGAGAGAGGACAACCTCGTCGAGATCCGAAAGAACAAGAGGGAAGACAACCTCTTGAAGAAGAGAAGGGAGGGCCTTCTGCTCGCTGGAGGCCTGAACTCGCTAGATCTCTTGTCGCAGACCGCTCTAGGGCTCGAGAAGAAGGTTCGCGTCTCTGGATCCTTTTAGACTGTGTGGTCTGATCCCAGTTTCTAGGGTATTTTGTGACACTATTGTGACTTGTGGTAGTAATTAGGGTTCATGTTCATTGATCATCATAGTAATCGTGTGACTTTTGGAAAAATTTGATGGCCCATGGCTGATCTGAGTGAGGTTCACAATGCTGTTGATAGATTTTATAGGATTTAGTTAATGGATTTTTATTTGTCTTTGGTTCAGAAATGTATTCACTACATGTTAATAAAATTCAGTTCTTTTTTTTTGGGTAGCAGTATGGGTTTAGGTTTTTAAGCTTTTAGTCAACCTGTTTAACTTTAGATTTTTTATTTGTCTACAATTATCACTGTTTGTTGAGGATATGACGAGGGAGAATAGCTGAGAATGCCAATGCCAGTGACCATGAATTGTTGTACTCGAAGACTTTATATAACAACTGAATCTACATTAGTATTATGTAAGTATATATAATGATATGTATAGGAAAGTATGATCCCGTAACGAGAGCCATGAAATTTCAGTTAGTATTATGCTTAATTTGTTTTGAAGAACTTTTTTCTGGAGAGGATGTGCTATCGATATATTTGTTGCTATAATTCTTTGAAATAGGTATATTAGAACTATGCATTCATAATTTTCTATTTAGCTGGTTTCTGTTCTATCAACTTCTGTTAGTTTCTAAGATCACTCGTCATTTAGTAGCTAACTTATTAGTATTGGGAGTAAATGAAGTCTGTACTTGCTATGAAATTAAAGTGTATTATTTAAACAGACTGCTATATTGTAATGTCACTTGCAGTGCCTTGAGCATTTAAGGAATTAAATAAGTTTCATGAAGTGCTTAAATGAAGACTTGAATGTACTTCAATAACAGAAGATGTCTTTTTTTTGTCTGTGCATATGCCTTTTTAACTGTACCAAATTACCAATGTGCTATGTTGGTATGACATTATGCTGCACATCGACTCACTCTGACCACGACCTGGAATCTTTAGCTCATCTTTTCAGGATGACCATTTGGAACAGATTGTTTTAACTGTATTAGATAACACAAATGCAGCATACTTTTGTTTACCAAATTTTAGTTGACACATGAGTCAGACATCACTAGCCAGTTGATGTTTTTAAGTTTCCTTTATATCATTGTGATTGGAATATTGAAATGTTATTTTCTGCTAGCTGGAAAGCCTTCCTGAAATGGTACAAGGAGTTTGGTCTGAGAATCCAGTGACGCAGTTGGAAGCAACTACCCAGTTTAGGAAGCTTCTATCAATTGGTATATGTATATTCTGAGATTCTAGACATTTTCCTTTGGGGAATGTTTATTATTTCCTGTTGTTTATGATTTTTCCCCTACTGTTTGTAGAGAGGTGTCCCCCAATCGAAGAAGTCATTAAGGCAGGTGTGATACCACGCTTTGTGGGATTTCTTTCAAGGAATGATCTTCCACAACTGCAAGTATGTTTTATTTGTTTCTATGTGATATGTTCTAATTGTGAGATGTAATGCTATCATGGTTAGGTTTATTTCAGTTTTTTTTGGGTCTGTTTTCTATAGTTTGAAGCAGCGTGGGCTCTGACAAATGTAGCTTCTGGGACTTCAGAGCACACGCATCATGTCATTGAACAAGGAGCGGTTCCAAAATTTGTAGAGCTTCTGAATTCTTCAAGTGATGATGTTCGAGAGCAGGTATATCTTCTTGCTGCTTCCTTTTGTTTTGTGCAGATGTCAACACCCAAAAGAGCCCTGTTCTGTGTATAGAATTATTTATACTTCCTTATTTGATAAGCAGGCTGTTTGGGCCCTAGGAAATGTAGCTGGTGACTCCCCACGGTGTAGGGACCTTGTTCTAGGACATGGTGCCCTCATGCCTCTCCTGGCTCAATTGATTCAGCAGTCAAAAATGTCAATGCTCAGAAACGCTACATGGACATTGTCTAACTTCTGTCGTGGAAAACCACCAGCACCATTTGAGCAGGTGAATGAAGCGGGTTATACCATTTTTTGTTTTTTTCTAATTTATATGTAATGATATATCAATTGCTTCCCATAGATGATCTTTCTATTGTCAACCATTCCAGACTAAGCCAGCACTGCAGATACTTCAGCAACTTATTCATTCAACTGATGATGAAGTACTGACAGATGCATGCTGGGCCCTCTCTTATCTTTCTGATGGAACAAATGACAGAATTCAAGCTGTGATAGAGGCAGATGTCTGTCCCAGACTAGTAGAACTTTTGCTGTAAGACGCTTTTAGCTATCTTTTTCATATCCGCTGCCACTACATACTTCCATTTTCTTCGTCTGAGATCATTAATATCACTAACTAGATTCACTTTCACGCAGTCATCCAACCCCTACAGTTCTGATACCCGCCCTTCGCACAGTGGGGAATATAGTCACTGGAGATGATGCTCAGACTCAGGTACTCTTTTGTTTGGATGTGGGATATCATTATTGGGCTGTAAAGCTGAAAGGGGTTATAAAAATATTATTTACTTTGCTCGTTTATTTCCTGCTTTATTTCATCTACAACCAATTTTTGTTCCAATTGACCTTTACCTTTTTCTATGATAGCCTGTGCATATAAACTTTTCCATAAAATTTAAAACAATTGCTTTCCATTATTGCTCAATTATTCATACCTCGATGAAGTTAGAAATCTTAGAAGACGGGTCCATAATAATAAAAAAGAATGTAAACTTTCTTGTACTTTAGCACTGAGTTTTTTCTGGTGGAGTGGTTGTTGTCTCAAAAAGGTTGGACACTAGTAGGAAGCAAAATGTGACTGCATTTGACAATTCCCCAAGTGCAAGTAAATTTCTAGATAGGAATCTAATTAATATTGGAAACCAAACTGGAAAACTAAAAAGTAAAATTCCCCTTTAGATCTAGACTAATAATCGAGGGCTAAGTTAAGCAATCATACTCATGCATCCGTGATGGGAGCTAACTTAACCGGGTTCAAATTAATATTGAAAAAAATATCAATGAGTAAAAAATAAGTCAATAAATTTCACCTTTAAATGGATTAATATTCCAGGGCTACATCATGGAAAACATGATGGAAAGGATGGTGGGGGTATTCAGAGTTGTCAAGTACCTCAGAGTATTTTATAATACAAGGAAATATCCATCTCATGTCTTTTCTAATGGGTCGATTTATCTTACGAGATAATTAGTGCATATTCTACATTTATATGGTACATGATTTCTTACAGTACATTTACTTGAATTATGAATATATCTCAAGTATAGCGAGAATGACCTTTCTAGGTTAACTATGGCTTGCAAGTTAGGCCTAGTTTTTTAGTTAAAGAAGATATCAAAACCCAGGACATCTGTTTTATTCTCGATAGAAACACATAAAACTACCACCATAACCAATAAGGCAATAAGCAATTATGGAACTGAGCATTTTTTTCCTCATCTCTTTTTTCTACAGGGATAAAAAGGATTTGTTTGAACTTCGAACAACTAAGGCTCGATGCTTTGTTTTTTCAGTTTAGAGTATGTGTTCAGTACAAAAGTGCATGATGCGTAAGCAAGATAAACATTTCATACGTCTATAAAACAGATTATGACGACTTGCATTTATAATGTCGAAAAATAAATCCAAAAGAGATTCACATTTATAAACAAGCTGTTCTCCTCACATTCTATTAAGGAAGTTCTCTACTGTTAAACCATACTTTTGAAATTCAGACTTATAATGTTGTATTTAATATTTAGAGAACTTTTTAGTTGCAGTTTCCACTTTCTATTCCAAATCATACGCCTTACATCCATGACACAATACACATCCTCTATCAGAGAGCTATATGTCATTGTTACAATTTAGAATAAATATGTTTAAGAAGGATATCAAGTAAAAGCAAGATTCGAACATAATTAGGATTTCATCTAGTGGTAATTGCTGATCTCTGTCCTGTAAGAGGCTTGCCGGTGATCTAGCCTTAGGAATCCAAAAGCTCTCATCATCGAGAAGCTCTCACCGTTGCTGGGGCAAATTCTTGCCGCTTGAGGGCAGAAGATCTCTTGCGATTGTGTCCCTTATTACTGTTGGGACATGCCTTTATTAGCTTGGGAGACAGTAAAGAAAAACCCTTCCTGTCAAGAAGCCTTGTTGTCATTAGGATAGATTCATTGTTGGTTAGGGAGAGGGAGAAAGGAGAGGCCTAATGTAATGTCAGTAAGTCACATTTTATTGACCATATACTTTGTCAAAGTTTCTTGTTTGGTAAGGTTAGTTTCTGTCAGGTCTCGGTGCAGCCTCATAATCAGGTATGCAGGTGCATAACCTGCATAAGCCTGATTGTGCAAGCAATATGGGACAGCATCTATTTTCTTTCCATTAGTTTCCCCTCATTTTTTTCGTTCTTGACTGATTTGACGTTAAGCCCTGTCTTACATTGGACCTGCTTTCTGTGACTAGGATGATTTAACATTGATTCAGTGCATTGTCTTCCCTACGCGCAATAGTACAAATGAAACTCCACTTTTACTAGCATTATTTTGTATTTTGTATTAATTTTTGTGTTTAAATAACGGAGAGTAATCCTGTGAAGTATTTTGCAGTTTATTATCGACAACAAAGTGCTTCCTTGCCTTCTTCAACTACTCACGCATAATTACAAAAAGAGCATTAAAAAAGAAGCTTGCTGGACGATCTCAAATATTACCGCTGGAACTAGAACTCAGATCCAGGTAATACATTCTTTCCCAGTCTTTTCTCTTAATGGTCCCATGCTGAGATTCTTGCTGGAAGCCTGGAATCATACAGATTACACAATCTCTTCTTTCTCTTAATGGTCCCATGCTGAGATTCTTGCTGGAAGCCTGGAATCATACAGATTACACAATCTCTTTTCTTTGTCAATTGTCAAACATAACCATTCTTGCTGGAAGCCTGGAATCATACAGATTACACAATCTCTTTTCTTTGTCAATTGTCAAACATAACCATGTCAATAGAGATGACAGCCTTGGCCAAAACAATTTATTTGACCTAGCATAGTGCTCGTCTAAGAGCATTTTGTAATATGGCCTTTCCTAAAAAAGCACTGATCATGAAATTTTCTTGATGGTGATTTTCAGGCCGTTATTGATTCAAACATCATAGGTCCACTAGTTTATCTCTTGCAAAATGCTGAATTCGAGATTAAAAAGGAGGCTGCATGGGCTATATCAAATGCTACTTCTGGGGGTTCCCATGAGCAGATACAGTATTGATCCTATGTCCTTCATAATGCTTATATTTTTTTTCTTTGCATTTCTAAATTAAAAATATTGCTAAATTAACTTACTGCCACACCTGGTGGTAACTCGAAATGGAATTCTGGACTTTTTGTAAAATTGCAGTCGTGTGTATATCGGTATATCATCTAAGCATCCTATAATTTTAGTATGTTAGGGTTGAACTTGAAGATTTTTGACTTACTTGAAACTGTATAATGATGTATAAAGAAATACTATTGTACAACTTTAAAGTTAATCCACAACCACCACAAGGCTGATACCTCCATTTTTTTGAAGTTGGCTATATGAAATTATTTTCTTCTTTCAGCTTCTCTAAAGGCCATTGCCTTTGTTAAATTAGAAACACCTCATCTTTTTAATTCATATCCACATCCAACTTTGCTCTGTACGTTAATGTTTTCACTTCCTTTAACTAACCGGCATGTGCACATATCTATTTGATGGATGTGCAAACCACCTCAATAGTTTTCCTTCACTGGAGAAACCCTTTGAAACCTCTAGTTGCCTTTGGAAATTTCTCTTTAATTGATTCCCTCACTGTTATTTACTTATTTGTGTTGTGATATATTGACTTGCAGTTAGTTTTGCCTCTACATCTAATTTGGAAAGTAGATTTTTAACTTAAATCTAGAATATAACACCTTTTTCTCTCTTTGTCCCGTTTAGCTGCTTGTCTCACTTAACTCTATCCACATAAACTGGGGATGACATTCTAATGGAAAGGTAGAACTTTACAAACATTTGCTACTTGATCAAGTTTTATGTGATGATGGTGGTGATCTCAGCCCTATAGCTTGATGCGCATTCCTAGCAAGGGAACTGTAGCCCAATGTTTGGTCTATATATGAAACCTAGTAGGGCAGTTTGCATGCAAGAAACTACCATATTAGTTCCGGTATACGCATTCAGAGAGACATTCTCCTGAACTTTTCGTTTTATCACTTGGTCCAAACGAAAAAAGCAAAAGAAAGCAAAAGCTAACTTGTTTGTGAGTCTGTGCCAGTCAAAGAGTTGGATCTAACTTTCTCATGGACTTGGTTTATGTGACTTGTGTTTTTCAGATTAATGTATTGAAAAAAATCTAGTTTTATCTTGTAATTCGTAGTATCCTGTCTTTATTTCCTTATTCAATTTGAACTTGAGGAATCTAAACTTGTTGCAGTATTGCAAATGATGTGATACACTTACTTTTTAAATGAAGAAAGTACGACTACTTGCTGAAATTACTTGCTGCTTTAGCTGAGTATCTTATATTATGACTTTTAACTTTTAAGCATGGAAATCAAGGAGCATCATGAGTAGTTCGAGAAATGCAACAGTATATTAAAATTAACCCTCTATGCAGCAGAGTGTACAATATTTCCTTGCAGAACTTTTTTCTATCATCTGTTTATCTCGTCTTAATGCTTCCTAGTTTATTCTATAACACAATTTGCCTCTATTTTTTCCGTTGTTTTTACTGGTCTTGTTGGCTCTCTTTGAGGTCCTTTATGAAATTAAGTCTGTTAATTTACAATCCTTTTGCAATATACTAGACCCAACATTGAACATTCTTGCTTGATTTTGGGGGATCTTCTCTTTTTGAAGAAAACTTCCGTAATTTTTACCTTTACCAACATATCCAATACCTAATCTGTTATAGCTTGTAACTTATTCTCAGGTATTTGGTGAGCCAGGGTTGTATAAAGCCACTATGTGATCTCCTTATCTGTCCAGATCCAAGGATAGTAACAGTTTGCCTTGAGGGCCTCGAGAACATTCTAAAAGTCGGAGAGAGCAACAAGGAATCGGGTGAAACTAATGGAGTGAACGTGTTTGCCCAGATGATCGATGAGTGTGATGGTTTAGATAAAATCGAGAGCTTGCAAGGGCACGACAACAATGAGATATATGAGAAGAGCGTGAAGATTCTTGAGCGGTATTGGGTTGATGATGAAGATGAAGAGCAGAATATGCAAAGTGTGGGTAATATGCAGCAGGTATTTGAATTTGGAGGTCAAATGCCTCCCCAGGGTGGGTTCAAGTTGGGTTGAACCGTCTCATTTTTTCCCCGCGTATTCATGGGTTTCCTTACAATTCCATTGCTTGAAGATTAATGGTTTTTAAATCACTATAAGTTACCACCGAAGGATTAGCGATTTTGGGCCGACTCCTGAGGAGTTTCTTACGGTATGGATTTGTAGTGATATTGCTTCTACTCTATCCTCTTGTTTTTATTCTATTGTGTTGGAGAAATGTAAAGCTCCACAAGTTGTCGTCTACAGGATTGTTGTCAATTGTTATAAGATCAAACTGGAAATACAGTCAATTTGCTCCAACAGCTCAATTTGATCTTAATCTTTCCCAATTTGCAGCATGTTCAATCTATGATTCTCTTCAATGGTTTCGCAATGCAAAAAATCTTATATAGAACTAGAGGGTCCTCAAATTTAATGACAAGACTAGTTTGGTGCTCGGCATAAAACTTTTGAAGTATGTCAATGCAACTCACGAGGTTCACCAGGTTTTGTTGGAAAATGCAAAAAAGATTCAACAGGCAAACTGTTTTCTTAGATTGAAGTGAAATACGCACAAAAGAAATCTATTTTAGAATTGCCTATTTTAAAACGGGTTGACTGCAAACGGACCCCTTGTCGTGTCACCCGATTGTGAATAGACACCATGTAGTTCTATTTTAGCAAGTATACCATCTAATTGAATTTTTTGAGAGGCAGGTAGACCCGCTATGGTTCTATTAGTGAGGATATACCCTCAATTTCCATTTTTTTTTACTTTTTAAAGAGCCAAAAAAATTCACTAATAAAAGGCTGTATTCGCACCTGGATCAATACTACAGGTGGTCTATCCGCCACAATTGGAATTGCAGGGGATCTAATCGCAATATGGTGATACTATAGGGGACCGTTCGCAATGAACCCTTTAAAAAATAGATTTGAGCTTTTAGCTTTTATTCTTTCAGCGACTATTAACACTCATTCACATCATTGAAATCCTTCGAGGAATTACATAGAACAGTTCAAATATGGTCCTCTAGAGAAGCAAGAAGCTAAAGTAGTGAATCTTCCCTAAGTCTTTCCAGTAATTATTTTGGCCTATGAATGCACAAAACCTCACTTTCTCTCTTCTGCCAGGTTCTTGTAAACCCTTTCAATATCAGCCTGCAATAATATCGAAGCATTTTTCAGTTAAGCATCGTGCAGTTTGCATTAAACATGAACAATACAACTGTTTGCTTGAATGTCTGTAAAATATTCACCTGATAACATTTCAACATTTGGGGCCTTTTCTTCTTCATGGTAGGAGTGACTAGATCTCTTTCAATGTCGAAAGGTCGAGCATCCACAATGATTCCTTTGATGTGCTCAAAACCTCTCAGCTGAATCAAAACACCAAGTGACTGTGAGTGACGAATCAAGCATAACGCTATCGCGAATAATCCTTATTGAAACTAACCATAAGACACATACATAGATAAGATGACGCATTATCACCAATTTTAGTGCATGTATCTGAAATGTGTTGTTTTAAATTATCAGTACCTATATATAGTGTGAATATTTCATTATAATCTATATTCGAGAATTACATTCTCATTTGTTCACTCGGGTCATGTTCAACGCAACGTCTAAGACAAAAGTCCACGGTATGTGTGATGTATACGCTATGACTAATCATAACTTAGTTTTACCTACATTATTATCCGAAAATAGTAGAAAGTAGATGAACCTTTTCAAACCCATACCTTATTTTTCTCAGCAATCGCTTTAAGCTCTTGAAGAATATAATGTTTGAGTTCCTGAAGCCCACACAGATCTATGAATGAACCCTTGAGACCATTCATTGATGCCCATTTCTTAGTGTTATCTTCATGTGGAGCCACTACCGCAACCAACGTAGATCTGTAGCTATCTCCATATACCCAAATCTATACAGACAGAGACACCATAATTTATTATTATTAGCAAACAAAATCTTTTACATATGATTACACTGACATGAGAGACTTACATCTTCAATAATTGGAGCAAAACAGTATACTTTCTCCAGATATTCAACAGCAACATATTCCCCTTGAGAAAGCTTAAAAATGTTCTTCTTCCTGTCGATAATCTTTAAGATCCCATCAGGGCTCATCTCTCCAACATCGCCTGAAACAATTCAAGAAAATTCGATAACATATGTACGCGCGCGCGCAAAAATACATAGATTTAACCATGTTTGGAGCAAGTCTGACACCAGTCAGAAGTCTGACCAGAGATCTGAATGAGATTCAAGAGAAAATACCAATAATATGCATTTTTTTTAAAGTATAATACGCATTTAATTTCTTCTTGTATGAAAATTTTTATTCTCTTTACCTGTATGGAACCAACCATCTCTTATTGATTCTGATGTTAACTCTGGATTCTTGTAGTACCCAGAGAAAAGAGTTTTCCCTCTGACACATATTTCACCGCGTGACGGAATTGATAATGGATCATAACCCATTTCAGGGACTTCTTCGAGCCTAATCTCACTGAATGTTGAAGCGACACCAACTGTTCCTATTAAGGACATCTCATCAGGGAATCCGACTGAACTCAGCCCACAAGTCTCTGTAAGTCCTGAAGAAACAAAATTATACTATCAAAACACCACTATACATCTTGGGTTTTCCATAAAACTACAGTTAACGCTTTTACTAGAGAAAACTATCGTGAACTTTCAAAACTGCAGAAAAATTCATGAACTAATGAAATTTGTTGCAAACGACATTACTAACTCGGATAGAGGATCTTAATTCCACTTGAAAGTAGGAGAGGAGGAGAGGATGTATAAAGTACATAAGGATAAAGTTGTCCAAAACATTCCATGTGCAAATCACCTGACAACTTACTATAAATGTCATCAGATATGCATATTTGGTTTTTTTTTTAACTTCATGGTAGTTTCCTGTAGTTAAATAAGATTATGGTAGTTTTGTGCAAAACTCTTCCAATGCTCGTGGGGGTTTCGGAAACTTCACCCTAAATATTTAAATATCACACATGCTGAACATAACACAAGAATTGGTTTGCTACAGCATATATAGACTAGATATGAAGATGTTTATGATTTTGAACTTTCAATGTAAATTTGGTGTTTGTATCAACAAATTCGCGGAACAAAACTTATGTGCCTAACTGAATATACGTAGCATTGTCTGAAGTAATTTACAGGAACAGTCATCTCATCATATATCTACTGCTTTAATAAAATAAAATAAAAAGGCTGCATATTACCATATCCTTGAGAGAAATAAGCACAACTAGTGACTCTCAAAAATTCCTCAATATCAGTACTCAATGGGGCGCCTCCTGATATTATAAGGCGAATACGGCCTCCTAACCTAGCCTTGACCTGAAATGAACAATTGCAAAGCAAAAATTATCAAGTTTTTTAAGAGAAATAAGGATGATTATATTGAATATTACCTTACGAAATGCCAGTAAGTCTGCTAATGGTGAAGCTTTCTTATGCTTGTATCCTGATTTCATCCAGTACAATTTGCTGCACTGACAGAGTATGACATTTAGTCTTCCCCTGAAACCAAGTATTAATTTCTCACAGAAATTAAAAGGGAAATCTAATAAAACTCCCGTGAACTTCAGAAATCATTTAAAAAACCCCTTGACCTTTCAAAATTATACTACTCTTATCTGAAAACGGCATTGTGTAAGCTACATTCAGTAAATAAGTGCAAGATTGGACAAATTAGAATAACTTTCGTCAATCATGGTGCTTAAGCGAGAGAATTTCAGGCGATACGCCAGCTTACTATTTGTACAGAAGATTAAAGAACATCCTTCTGTGTGGTAACAGTTCTGACACTGCCTTCATTATACCTGACAACCAAAATTTCATGAAATAGGAGGCAAAAGGAACAACAATAATATCAATGAGATAAAGAGACAGAAATAACTAGCTAATCTTGGTAGTTTCTCATGCCTTCATGAATTCTCTCAAAAACTCGAGGGACACCCGCAAGAAATGTTGGTTTCAATTCCATGATATCATCCCTCAAAACGTTAATATCCTACAACGAATTAGAGATATCAGTGAGAACTGAGAACTGTCCTACAAATATACTAAAAGGGTAAATTTCACAAAAGCACCATGATGTTGGAGTAGTTTGCGCAAAACTCCTTGAAATTTATAAATAATTAATTAAAAAAAACCCTGAATTTTCAAAATTACATGAAACTCCCTGAAGTATTGGAAAATCTCATAAACAGTGTTAGCAAGTAAAGCAAAAGTCTAAAATTATGACATGGCTATGTCTTGTTCTCCTGCATGAACGTTTTTCATTGAAAGTTTTTATCATGAACCTTGATTTGTTATAATTCAAGCTTATTATGCCGTTAGAACCGTTTATGAGATTTTCTAACAGTTCAGAAGGATTTAGCACAAATTTTAAAGTTCAAAGAGTTTTGTGCAAAAACCCTCAAAGTTCAGGTGGTTTCGTGAGATTACCCCTATAATGAACTTATCATTGTTATAAAAAATAAAAAAAAAATTAAAAAGAAAAAAAAAATTACCCCCTGATAATATCCAACAGAAGCTCCCTTGTGGAAGAAATACTCTTCGATCATGCGATCAAGGATGTGAGCAAGAGGGAGGAAAGAGATGTAGACATCATCCACCGTCATCTAATAACAATTAAAATATTTAAATGAATGCATACGTAAAAGTAAATTCTTGTTTCACCAAAAATTTACAAGAAAATAAACCTTTACCTTTTCTTCAAATTGTTCCATATATAAGTCCACCCCTTTTACATAAGTTGCAATATTTTCATGCGTCAAAATAACCCCCTTGGGTTGTCCACTAGTTCCACTTGTGTACATAATTGTGCATATATCAAGAGATCTAGGGGGAATAGGCTCTAAAGGAAATTCTTTTCCCTGGCAAATGCTAACAAAATTTGATTAAAACTTAAAGATAAATCTTAATTCAGTGATATAAGATAGGTTTCATCTCATATTAGACCCTAAATTCCATCAATAGTTCTACATTAGGCCTCCAAGTTCTTCATACTTTCAACTTATACCCCCAAATTACTTAAGTTGTTATAAATTACATCCATAAATGAAATAGGAAGATTTTCACTCAGGGGTGTATTTAGAACAACTAAAGAATTTGAGAGTGTAAATTAAACATATGAAAATTTAGTGGTCCAATATAAAAATATAATTGAGTTTAGAGCCTAATGTAAGGAGGGGAAAAACCATCACATGATTTTTGCAAATCCTGAGACACTAACCATTTGTAGAAACTCATTCCATGAGTAAATATTCATGCCTGTGTTTCGAGCTTCATCCTTTTGTTCCTTAGTCGTCGATGAGAATGATATTATAGCTGTGATTTCAGTGAATAAACATAAAAAATTAAAGACCATGCATTGCAAAAAAGAAATATTTTACATTTTAAATATTTTATATTTTAAATGTTTTACATAGTGAACCTCACATTTTAGACGTCGAGCTGATATGGAGGATAGAATCTACAAAGAGCGGATGAGTTATAAGATTATGTCATAGTAAAATTATACATAACATTCATGAAATGTTGATTGCTAAAACTTACTTGTTTCATCTTCTTATCCTGAACGAACACAAAATCTATTTCTGCATGGTCTATTATGTAATCCGCAGCTCCTGACCCTGTTCAATATTAAGAAAAGAAAAGAATGAATTAGTAAAAATTAATGGCATCTTAAATCAAAATGGGTATATTTCACAAAACCCCCTTGATCAAATGACTAACCCAATGTATCATAGAGAGGAACACAAATTAAGCTGTATCCGTTGCAAGCCTGTAATAATTGAAAAAAAAATACAAACCATATATATATAAGAAAATTACCACGATTCTAATAATAGAATGAAATTGTCAAGATAGATGCACAAGAACCTGCATTGCCGTTATCCACTGAGGACAATTTGCTCCATAAATTCCTATTCTTGAACCCTTTTATTAACATATCAACATGACAACACCGTTAGCGACAACCAAATCAAATATTAAAATCTTCCCAAATTGGTTCCATAAATTTCAAAATTTAATAATCCCAGATGAGCTTAATTACAGGTTTAGCACCAAGATGCAACAGAGCTGAACCAACGTGAAGGACTTCCTCATATATTTGCTCATAGGTTTTCCATTTATAAGGCCCTGCCTAAAACACACAGTTAACAGATAGTTATATTTATATATGTTAGAAAAATGAAGAAAGTACATAAAATTGTTGGTAATGTTAGAAGCTAAAATTCCTAAATGTACTGAAAACTTTCGGCACACGTTAGAAAACTAGATACCCTTCCATTCGCAAACTCTCGCCAGCCGAGCATTTTATTTCCAGGATACTTCTCTGCTGAAAATCTGCAGTATAAAGGAAAATTCATAATCAGATCAGTTAATATTTTCATTTCCATGAAAATTTTCTACATAACTAACAGATGAAATTGACACATCCAAATTAAGTACAATGTCATGCCCAAAATAGTTATTAAAAAAAGTCATGAACCGTTCCAAATTACAGCAGTATATACAAAACTTCATGAATTTGCTCCTAATTTTTTTCACTGAGAAATTACCTGAAAACTTCCCATGAGGTGGCCATGTTAGAATCCGACGGAGGAAAACCATCCTTTGCAAGTGCATTGCGGAACACTGGACCA